TGAAAATAATTTTTCCTTGATTTCTATCGAGAGTATTCTTAGGTAACTTCAATTATCTAAGATGTAATTAACTATAGGGGCTTGCCCTTATAGGAAGCTTTTCCCGAACCCAGCATAATATAAACCCTATTTAATTTCTTATATTAAATAGGAGAACTTGTCGGCCAATATATTGGTTTCGCAAACCAAACGGATGTCATAACTTTCTTTAGTTTATTTGATCGAGCCTCACTCTCAATTCTTGTGTTCATCCTTCAGGATAGATACATGATTTGAGATAAAGTGCTCTTTCATTTAAACTATGAAAATTATGGGGTCAGTTTGACTTCATCTTTTTCAAAACTAAAATTTTTAATGTCCTTCCGAAGCGGGCAACGGGATTTCAATTTCGATGACCGACAGCTTCTTACGGGCAAACCCCACACCAAAAATAGTGCCGACACCTGACACATTATAAAACTTAAACTCGTTACGACGAGGAGCTTGGAGCTAGCATTGTGGGCAACACGACCATCTTCATCAGCAAGAGGATCTACAACAACATATCTTTCCTTAGAAATAAACAACCAAGTCATAGGATTTCGAGATTGTCTGCTTAGTGCAATATAAATCCTCAACTCAACTTTAGGCCTTTGTATAGCCCTGCTACACAATATAATCCCTGACTCATCTTAGGATTTTGAGGTTGTCCTTTGTCACGACATAAATCCTCATATTTTCCAGGCTATTTGTGTGATCATTTCACATGAATGAAAGCCCTAACTAATAAAATTGACAGGATGAAACATTCAAATACTTCTCTCTAAACTAAAGCCAAGTCATAGGATAGCTTGGGAAATTACCGAGCTTCCCCTCCGGATCTATGACATTCCCTAATTCTTTCTTCCTTGGATTCAAAAAACAAAATGTTCCAAATTTGAGACATTCCCCCTTCACACCTCTTTGTTCGATCTCGTTGAAAAGTCCTATCCTTTTGAACCCTATCCTTTTGAACTCCTTGCTCCTTGAGATAATATTTCCTGATTTTTATTGAGAGGTTTCTTAGGTGACTTCGGTTATCTAAGACGTAATTAACTATAGAGGTTTCCCTTTACATGAATCTTTTAAGAACCCAACTTAATATAAATCCTATTTAAATTTTTGTATAAAATAGGGGAATTTGTTGGTCAACATAAAAAGATGGTTTTTCACAGACTTAATCGGAATGTCATAAATTCTTTAGTTTATTTAATCGAGTCTTACCAGTAAGTAGTGTGTCTACCCTTTGGGATAAATGCATTAATTGAGGCGTTAGGCTCGTTTATTTGAACTACTACAATATGAGATCTGTTTGGTCTTCCATTTTCAAAACTTAAAATATTATTTTTTAAAATTGTATGTATATAAATTAAATTAAATCAGGCGTCAGGATATCCATTCCGGCGACCAACAATTTCCAATTTGGCAACCGACTGTGGGTTAACCCAACCTAATTTTGGTTAATCCAAATCAACTTATATATATATATATATCTTAAAATAATGCCTTTAGAAAGCCTTAAAATATAGATCTTAACGAATGCCATATATATATATATATATATTAAAATGCCTTTCTGAAGGGGGCGACGAGATTCCGATTCCGGTGACCGGCAGCTTCTAGCGGGCAACTCCACACCCAAAATAATGCAGACCAGAGAGAAAGAGAAATGCACAACAATGAATAATAACTTAAAGCAAGTGTATTGACTTTTTTAGCAAAGGTTGTGTAACCTCTCCATCATAGAGTGATCCTCTGTTTATAGAGAAAGGAGCTATGGTATGCTAAACTACTTTTGTGCCTCTACTTTAGTGGAGAATATACAGGTGATTTGCAGCATTTTACATACTTGAGCCCAGAATCTGATTATTCTCCAGCTCGACTGACTGGGCTAGCGAGACCTTAGTAGGTGCTACAATTCAGTTAATTTTTGTGAATTCTACCACTTGGCTAGGTTAGTGGGGCCTTGGTAGATGCTCAATTGGATGAGCAAATATGGTGCATATAAGCATTGCTTATCAGCTAGATTGGTAGAAAATGTCGGTCAACTGATCTTTACTGTCTGGTTTTTTGCAGCATTGATTTGATTATCTAAGTTTTGGCTATCAGTTAGCATGGTTTGGTCGTCGGCCGTCTATAGTCAACCCTTGATCCCTAGCGATGAACTTCTTTCGGCATAGCGAAGCTAGGCTATCTGGCAGGTTGAATCATCCTAGTCTAATATTTAGCCTGCCTTACAATGAAAAGATTTTGAGTGATGACTAAGACTTATTTTCTTATGAACTCTTGAAGGTATCTTGGGGAGATTGTTGGATGTATCAAGTATAGCTTGTAGGACCCGAGGGACTAGCTCCTCCCCTCGGATTGGCTTTATTGTGATGGTACGTTTGGGTTGTGCATCGCCTCGTGTCTAGCTTAGCTGCTCAGGCTTGAGACAACTAGGCCTTCAAATTTCCTACTAGTGAGCCCTCCTCTTGAATACTTTTTACCTCATCAAATCACCTTCAGATTCGTGCTGACACTTTTTACGTATACATTTTAACATTTATCATATTCAATATTCACTCATCAAAAAATTTTCTCATACTTTTATATATGGCAATATGGTTTTTCCTCCCTTGAGATTAATCACTTAGCCCAAACACTCTTCCACTTAAAGTAATCCATTCCTTGCAAAATCATATAGCAACTTGAACCACTTCGTACAACACACAACAACAAAATTTCAAAGTAAAAAAGCTCCTCCTCTCTTTCCCGAATGCCATTAGGCCAAAACTTGACACCCCATCATCATTTCAAAACCACATAACATTCCCCATTTCCATTAAGTTTAATCAAATATTCAACCTAAACTTCATCTTTCAGACATTAGCATCTCCTCCTTCGATCTATACTTATACCTAATCGCCCAAAACAAATAATGCCCAAAGTTCACCGCACTGAGAGCACACATGAGCCAATAGAACCTCTCCAGATGATAATGGTTCAGATTACTTCCGGCCAGCCATGGCTGCTGGCCGCCGTGACTCGTTGCTCTGTTCACAATCGACACCAGCACAGAACTCAAGAAATACCCCATGGCCAGCGATACCCACGACAAAGACGTCGCGAGCGACCTCATCCCTGCCGGCGCTTCCGTAAAGAAGAACTCCATTAATCCCGCAAGCGTAAACAGATCCGCAGAGCCGAGAAACAGATACTGCAACGCCACCCAGAAGAAGGATATAGGCAGCGGTTC